CCTTTGGCTCAGAGTTTCTCCACAGGCAGTTTCACTAAACGGTGGGATTTTACACCACTTTTGTTAAACCAGGGCAAAGGCTGAGTTCTTCCAGAGGCTTAGTGTGGGTTAGTTTAAGTCCATTCGGGACAGCTGTAGGCTGAGAACATGAGCCACTCAAAGCTAATGAGAGGGCCCACACAGGGCTTGCAACAATTCAACCAAACAGTTTCTGGTAAAGCCAGGAAGGTTTGCGTGGAGACAAGGCCAGGGCAGAGGGGGCTCACCTCCCCCGGCGCCCATGTGATTCTAACTGAGGATTTCTCCGGGGCGGGTGTCAGTTGGTTTTGAGGGTCTCAGCCCATTTCCCCCTCAACCCGTTTGACAGTGTGTGACGGGGCACAGCGGCCCGTCTCCGAGCCGGAGCAGTGGCTGAGGAGCACGGCCGTCCGGCTCCTCCCCTGCGCCGCTGCTGCACGTGCTTCAGCCACGTGCTGGGAGCTTTCAACGCCGGTGGCGCGGAGAGCGCGGGGGTGACACGGAGGCGGCAGCGTGCCGGCCGGAGAGATGCTGTCCCACCAGGCAGAGGACGGGGGTTTCCCAACCTCTCCACCACCTGGGGCAGCAGGGCGGTTGGCCCCACAGGGGAAACCAGGAGCCGCCTGACACTCCCCCAGAGCCTCCCCACTTGGCGGGAGAACTAGGAGGACGCAGGCTACCAAGCCCGAAAGCGTGTTTTCTCTCGTACCGAGCGAAGGGAGGTTGGCACTAGCGCGGGTAGGAAGTGGCCCAGGGCGGGTACGGAGGCTCGAGAGGTTGACAGGTTTCAGAGTATCGCCCCTGTCAGCCAGGTAGCGGCAGCTGCCCCTACCTTTAGGGCCCTGGGCCAGGAGCCTGAGAAGCGGGAGGGCCCGTGTCCCCCTACCCCTGCTCACCGAGGGGTCAGAGCTCTTCGTCAGGCGGGAGTAAGGCCCCTAGATTGGAGCCGCTATGGAGCCGTTGAACCGGAACTTGGACCCGGACAGGGCATAGAGCCGAACTATGGACCCTGGGTGCGGGACGTTGAACCAGCCAAGGGTGCAGGGGACGGATAGGCCAGGGCGGGAAGGTGATCCCGGAAGTGGGGAACATGCCCTGAGGGAGGTGGATGCCAGAAGGGTCATTGGTTACCCAGTGGTTCCCTCAGCAGGGTGAGAGCAGACGGGGAGCTAGCCATCGCCGTGCCCTCCTCCCCCACCGGTGACCAGCTCCTGATAAGTGTTAAAAAAACCAAACCAACCCCCCAAAATCCCACGTTCTGAAGCGGCCCGAACCCAACTGGGCTCTGTTTGGACGAGGGGAGGGGAAAGGTGACCCGCCTGCCAGCGAGCGCTCTGCAGCCCCTGCACGGAGCCAGGGCGCTAGAGGAGGCTGGGGCAGTGGGAAAGACACGGGGCGGAGGGCCGGGCCGGGCCCCCAGAGAGGAATACATGTTCATGCGAAAGGCTCTTCCCACCCTAATGAATAGCCCATTAGCCAGGCCATCAATCAGAGCCTGCCTGAAGGCTCCGCTCCATCTCCAGGCCATTGATTTGGCATCAGATTTATGGGCAGGGCTGGGGAGGGCCTGGTACCGAACAGCGCTGCTGCCCTCTGGTGCCCAGCTGCCTCCACCACACTCCTGCACTCCCCTCCGCCCCTTCCTGGGCACGGCCCGCTCTGCACTAGCCAGCCCAAGGTGGGGCAGGCTCCAGGCAGCCTGTGCAGCCACGTGGGATGCAGACACACAGCCCCGGCAGGTCTGGGGAGGAAGGAGATGGCCCATTAAAGCCAGAGGGCACCTCTACATTGCAGCAGGTACAGACAGACTCAGGCTCGGTGTGCTCCAATCAGCCGTGTGGATACTGGGGCTCGGGTGGTAGAATAGGTGAGTCCAGGCCCATCCGCACACCTGCATCCACCCTCCAGCACCCAGCTCTGCCCACGGCCCCTGCAGCAACATCATGCTGCTATTTTAGCGTGCTAGCATGCGGGGAACTCGCAAAAGCTCCAGGGCAGCCGCTACCGCTATAAGCCTTCTGAGCCCGAAGCTCAGCACTTGACAGGTGAAGACGGCAGGCTGGAATTGGAGCAGGGCGCTTGGCAGCTCTGAAAAGGAGGCCACTCCTGTGGGTGCCTATGGCTGCAGAGCCGCCTGCTGGAAATGCTAGCAGGAACCGGCCCCCTTCTCCTGGGCGTCACAGGTGACCCTAGCGTATGCCACAGCGGGCCCAGGGCCAATCCCACACTCCCTGAGGAACCATGGAGTTTCGTTGGCCTATCACATGGCAAGAGATTCCACCCTTTTCCATTGCTGCAGGCCAGCACTGCTCACCGCGGGCGTGGCCCCATTAGGAACGGGTGGGAGTGCTAGTCTGAGACGGGCTGTATGGCACTAATAGCCTAGACAGCATTCGCACCCGAGCCTCTCAGGGCCGGAGCCAGGGGCTCTCACAACTCCACATCCTCTAATGCAATCCAGCCATCAGGTGCCATGCCAAGGACACTGGCCAAAGCGGACAGTCTCTGCACCAAAGGATAAAGGGACACACATCAAACATCAGAAATGGTAACACACAGAAACCTGTAGGGAGCATTGTAACCTGCCTGGGCACTCCATCATGGATTTAAAAGTAGCCATCCTCCTATAAAGGAATTTCACCAGCCAGTTACAGAGAGAGTCTGCAGAACTGGAATTCATCTCCAGATTTGACACCGTTACCCTGGGCTTGAACAGAAACATCAACTGGTTGATGCACTGCAAAGCCAACTTTCCCTGCCTTTAACATCTGCATTTCCATATCAAAAGCTACATATGGAACACATCCAGCCCACTTAATTAGCCTCATTTACACAGCTACTACGTTTGTCAGGTACTTCTACTGTTATACAGTTCCTGGTTTCTGTTATTTCCACTCCAATTCATCTGAGGAAGTGGCTTTTACCCATGCAGGTTTAAGGCTCTATATAGTTTGGTTAGTCGCTCAGGTGCCACAGGACCACACGTTGGTTTTAAAGTCAGAGAAGTTATCCACTTAAGAGGTTTGGATCGGGCCTCGGATCCCAAGAGTTCCAGCCAGGCCCCAGAATTCATCTGCTCTTTAGTTCCAACCTGAGTGACCAGCAGCAGAGGTAGCCCAGCTAGTAGTTGTGGAGACACTGGCCAGCCCAGGAGGGGCATGAGCAGTACATAGGAACATGAGAGCGGCCAGACTGGGTCAGACCAAAGGTCCATCTAGCCCTGCGTCCTGTCTCCCAGAAGTGGCCAATGCCCGGTGCCACCGAGGGAAGGCAGAGAGCAGGTACTCAGAACAGGTGGAATGCTAAGCAGAAGTTGTTGTTTTGTTTGGGGGGTTTGCTAATCCTCCCCACCCAGCATCATATATAGAATAGCCCAATGTCTGTGACACTAATGCGGTAGCGTTACAGAGTCTCCTCTGGGGGGCGCTGTTGCCTCACGCCATGGCGCTCGGCTGAGTTCTGTGCCGCTCAGCTGGGCCGCCACGGGAGAGCAAGCGACGCAAGTGGCCGTTTGGGCCCCGCGCTCCTCATGGGGGGTGCTGCATGGGGAGCGTGGGGCCCAAATGGCTGCTTGTGCCGCTTGCTCCCCCACGGCAGCCTGGCTAAGCGGCGCAGAACTCAGCTGAGCGCCACGGTGGGAGAAGAAGGGGGCGGGGCCCGGCTGTGTACATCACCGCCCCGCCCCCCTTCGCCTCCCGCCATGGCGCTCGGCTGAGTTCTGCACCACTCCGCCGAGCTGCCGCAGGGGAGCAAGCGGTGCAAGTGGCCATTTAGGCTGCATGCTCCCTGTGCTGCATGAGGAGCATGGAGCCCAAACAGCCGCTTGCGCTGCTTGCCCCCACACGGGGAGCGTGGTGTCCCCCGAATGAGAGGCAGGAGGGGGAGGAGAAGAGAAAGGGAGAGTGAGAGGCAGGAGGGGGAGAAGAGAAAGAGAGACGGAGAGAGAGGCAGGAGGCGGAAGAGAGCTGAGGGGAGGGGGAGGCAGTAGGAGGAGGAGGAGGAGAGAGAGAGATGGACACGGAGGAGAGTCCCGAAAAATCCCGTTGTGTGATGGGTAATTGGCTAGTTAAAAAAGGAAGCCTTTGCTCACTCACAAATCAAGCAGCACAATAGGGGGCAGGAGCCGTTTTCTGGACTCTGGCTGCTGGGAAGTTAATGGGAAAGGTGCGAGCAGCTGGAGAGCTCCAAGGGAACAACCAAAAGATTCAATTTCCAGAGAAAGAAACTCTCTTTGCAGGCGCCAGGCAGCGCATTATGGAGCAACACAGACTCCATCTCCCCGGGAGCTCACATGGAACAGCCTGTGTCAGCTGGCACCCGGTGTTCTGTGTGCTAGCCAAGGGCACCCAGGATCACATCTCAGACGAGCCGGGTAACTCTCACTGAGTCGGCACAGAAGAGCAACTGGCCACGGCAGCCCGCTGACAATGCACAAACGGCTTGACAGCAGAGAAGGCAAAGTCCCACTCTTTGGCTGTGTCTAGACTACACAGTTCTTCTGGAAAAAGATACACAAATTGCAAACCGCAATTTGCATATCTTTTTCTGCTTCTTTTTTCAGAACAGGCTTTTCTTACATTTGGCCCGTCTACACTGGACCAAATGTCAGAAAAAAACCCTTTTTCAGAACATCCCTTCTTCCTCATAAAACAAGGTTTACAGGGATGCCGAAAAATGCGTCTGCTCTTCTGAAAAAAATTTTGGACGAGCAGACGAGTTCCTTGGGTGCGGCAGAGAAATCTCTGCAGTCTAGATATACCCATAGCATCTTTGGAGTGGGGTAGACATTACACCATCCCCTTGTTGGGAATGAGGAAGAGACTGGCTCAGAGAGATCTGCCTGGATGTATTTGCTGGCAGGCCTATCCACATAAACTACTCAAAAGCAACTGGCTTTCAGACAATAAAGGCCTGTTGGGATTCCTGGTGGCATTCGTTTTTAAAAACACAATCTCCTTCCAGGACAGAAATGCCAATAACATTCCCCGGATGCCTTTTAGTTCCAAGGAGGCCTATGTAGTTTATTTACATCTCACCAATTAGGAGTTACAAATAACATTCATCAGAAGGAAATTTGCCCCATTTCTACCCTGGGGCAGGATTTTATAGCTATAATGCTGCACTTGTTTCCTTCCCCCTGCATAGACTCAGAAAGTGCATGTCCCTGAGCAGAGGTTTGCAGGATGGATCGCCTTTTCTGAATCAAGCGTTCTGCAGGGCTGAGCCAAGCCACAGCCCCCACCAGAATAGAGCTGGTCATTGCTCTGAGATTAATACCGGCAAGAAGGGGATTTGCTTTTTTTAAGAGAGACACACAGCTCATTAATTCTCCTTGGTGCCCAGCTAAGCACACGGATGCACCCCTCAAGTTGCAAGACCTTTGGGGCAGGCCTGGTCTGTACTCGGAACAGAACCAAGCACCCATTCAGTACGGCTGGGGGGAAAATGGGACGACCGGTTGTTTTCACTGACATTGGAACGTGGACACTTTTAGACCAGCTCTTCCACGGACAACCAACAATAATTGGGCCAATCCCCCGTTTTGGCATCTGGGAACTCATCCTGGGCTGGGTGCGAATGCCGCTCTGATAGAAATCCCTGGGTGTTCATACCGTGCCCATCGCCAAGAGAAGGACACAGCGAGTGGATGGAAGGCTGCCTGGCCAGCAGGATGGCAAGCATGAGGCAAGGGTGCTAGGCCACGCCAGCCACAGCCTGGCTGGTTCCCAGAGCTGTCCTGGTGCAGCTGTTCCCTTCACTACGAGCAGAGGGGACTGGGCGTCAGAGCTGCGCAGGCCAGGCGACCAGGACGAGTGCCGTGACGAGAGCTGGACAGGCGCCCGCCCGTCCACGGGGATGTGGGAGCGGCAGCTCGGAGCTCAGCCGAACCGGGCAGCAGCGGTGCAGATCTCGAGGGGGGAAAGGGAGGGTTTGCACAGGACGCCACGTGCTTCCCAGGCCTGGGGAACTGTCGTCCCTCCAGCTACCCCATTCTCACATTACCAGACCAGCCTGGGGGCACTCTCCTGTCCTGCAGAGGAGCCTCAGAGAGCCGTGTAGGAGCCCAGTCCTCTCGCAGGGACCCTGTCGGGCAGGGCTGGCTGTGGGTGATGGCAGCCGAACAGTCCTGCCTTGATCTCCCCACCGCGGGCCCCGGGCGGCTGTTCCGTCGCTAGCTGCTCCAGCTCTTGCTGCCCGGGCTGGGGAGCAGCCGGCGGAGACGGGGCGCGGCGGGCAGCCTGGGACTCCCGGGTTTCTTTCTCCTCTCGCTGGAAAGGCAGGCAGCACCAACGCTCTGTGGCCAGGCTGCCCCTGCGCCCCAGCCCTGCTCCCATGGCGACGGCAGCCGCCTCGCGCCCCGGGGCAGCGCGGCCTCACGTGTAATTGCCGGGGCCGCCCAGAGGAATCACGAACACGGAGATGTCGTCTCCAGAGCCCAGCTTGTCGTTGGCCAGCCGCCAGCCCCGCTCCTTCAGCACCCCTCTGGACCTCAGCACCAGCTCGTGGGCCACCATGGTGTACCTGCAGCGCCGCCAGGCCCAACAGCCAGTCAGCGGCCAGGCGCCTCGCCTCCGGGCAACCCCCCACCCTCGCGCCCCCCGGGGCTCCCTGTGCTCCGAGGAGAAAGGGGGCCGCTGGCGGGGCCCAGGGGAGAGGAAGGAGGCAGCGAGGGGAGGGAAGAGTCGGGCACTGCTCTCAGAGGATCCCTCCCCTCCTGCGCTCTACGGCGGGGTGGGAAACCTGCGGCCTGGGGGCCAGATCTAGCCCCTGGCTTGCCTGGAGGCTTGGGTCCCCCCCAGCTTTGGAGAGCTCCACTCCAGAGCTTGGGGGCCCCACACAATCTACCAGCCCGGCCCCCCAGGCTCTGGTGTGCGAGGGGAATGTGGGGCGTGCCTTTCTGCTTCTCAGGCAGGGGCCACGTCAGTGAGGTCTCCTTTCGTGCAGCCCCCAACTGGTTTTTCTGGGGGCCAGCGGCTCCTGACCTAAAAAGGGTTCCTCTCCCCCGTGCTAGGGGAAGCAGCATCCCCCCGTCAGGGGCTGTGAGGCGGAGACATGGGCCCTCTGAGGAGAGATGGGGACAGGCTGAGGGAACTGTTTCTGCTTCTCAGGCAGGGGCCACGTCAGTGAGGTCTCCTTTCGTGCAGCCCCCAACTGGTTTTTCTGGGGGCCAGCGGCTCCTGACCTAAAAAGGGTTCCTCTCCCCCGTGCTAGGGGAAGCAGCATCCCCCCGTCAGGGGCTGTGAGGCGGAGACATGGGCCCTCTGAGGAGAGATGGGGACAGGCTGAGGGAACTGTGGGCGAGGACGCGTCTCCGTGGCCCGCGTCCAGGCTTAGCAGCCTGGAAGGGAACAATGGTGGCAAGTGAGCCACCTGAGGCGGGAGGGTGGGCGCTGGGGGTCTTGGGGCCCCGCAACAGGGCGCCTGGACCTCTACTCACCTGCAGGGGTCGTTTGGCTCGTGGCCCATCAGCACCTCTGTGACCACCTCGGCCACCTCCCTGTCACTGGTGACGTCCCAGAGCCCGTCCGTTCCCAGCACCAGCACGTCGTCGGGGCAGTGCTCGTACTGCGTCAGGTCGTAAACGCGGACCTGGCGGGAGACGGGGGCTCAGCGCCAACAGCAGCACCAGGCGCTTGGGAAAGGGCCTGTCCGGCGCCGGCCCGGCTCCCCAGGAGGTTCCCGTCTCGCTGTCTCTTCCAGTCACCTCCCCGTCCCAGTGGGGCTCACAAGACCAGAGAGGGGACAGAAAGGTGGGACCTCTGCACCCAGCCACGTGGCCCCAGCTCCCCTCTGTCCAGGCGGGACAGCCCTGCCCTCCCCTGCTCACAGGGGCGAGGGAGGGGAACTGAATTTAGCACCGGGAGGTGCTTGGCTATCACGGAGTCGGGGGCCAGATGCCTGGGCCCACGTGCCACGGCACAGCCGTGCAACAGGCCCCGGCGTGGAATAACCAGGGTGGTGTAAAGCAGAGGAGCGGTGCCTTGGCAGAGATCGTGAGGTGCCAGCCCACGGTCCCAGCCCCTCCCTGAGGTGTGCCCTCCGTCTGCTCACGCGCCCCAGCCCCCGAGGGCAGTCCCGGGTCGGCCCAGCTCACCTCAGGGACACAGGAGAGGAAAGGCTTGATGTGGATATTGGAGTTGTACACCTTCAGGTCGTGGTCTCCTAAGCCCCGAGTGACCCCGATTGTAGCCATCACCCGGGCCTGCAGAAAAGCAACCCAGTCACCGTCTGCCCCCTCGCGGCACCAGGGAAACACACGCACAATGGGTGCCACCGTGAGTGCATCTGCAGAGGGCGTGCGTGGGCCTTTGGGATCGCTAGAGAAAACAGGGCAGGAATTTAAACCTTCGGAGACCCGAATCTCCCCTTCCTCCCAGTCCACCCGGCGGCAGAAGTCAGACAAGAAGAGTCCTCCCAAACCATTGCAGGCTCTACCGTCCCGGCTCCATGCTTGGATGTCTACGTCCCTATAAACTCCCAGCTTCTGTTCAATGCGGATTGTGTTGGCATGACATAGCCCATGTTCACTGCTTTGATATGGCTATGATACACGTCCTACAAAGCAGGCCTGGCGAGGATCATTTGAAAACCCATAATCTACTGAACATCACTGTCCTGTTAAAACATGCGGAACATCAGTGAGTGGAAAGCTATGAGATTTTGCTGTACGCTTGTGTTATATGTTGTAATGCTGGGAAATGCTCACATTCCAGTTCCTCAGAGACTGGTCCCAGGTGTGAGAAGACTATTAACCGCAGGGGAGAGTATAAATTAAAGAATGCACGTCAGCTTCAAGACGACTCAAACGTCACGTACACAGAAGGTTCAGGCAAGAAATTGACAATGTCCCTAAAGGACATTTTGAATCTCCTCTATGCAGGGATCTGCTTTGCCTATACTCCAGCTGGGGGTATCCTCAAAGAGGGGAAAAAAGGAATAAACATGGACAGGTGACAGCACACAAGTTACCTCTCCTCCCCATCTCTGCTCATGGCAGCAAGTACAAGCCACATTTCTGGGGGGCACAGCTGGGACGGAGGCACGCATGCAAGGCTGGGAGAGCATTCGTGTATTCAGCGGGGAGGGACTTAGCATGCCAGTGGCTGTGGGTGAGCAGAGGCTGGAGGGGCTGCAGACGGGGAACGTCGGGATGTCACACCTGCAGGCCCTCAGCTCTTTACCTTTTTCCCTTCTCCATAGATAAGTGGAAACTTCAGGTCGTCCTCTACTATCCTTTTATAGGCCCTGGATACAGACAGAGAGGGGAGCTGTCACAGGGGAGGTAAAGAGTCCCAGCAGCACCCTGGGCTGTTTTCAACAGAGCGGCCGGTGCCCATCGGACACGCAGGCCCTGCCTATGCTGGAGAACATGCTGGCAGGTGCCACGGGGTGCAGCAGACCCCATCCACCAGGGTAGGGCTGCACGGCGGGGGCCTCTCCCTCTGCCGGGGCAGGAGGGTCTAAGCAGCTAAGCCCCCCGCTGGCCCCAAGCGTAACAAGCAGGTGGGGGGCATTACCAGCCGCTCATGTTCTGGTCTCTGTACAGCATCTTCTTCCCCAGCTCCTTGTGCTGAATCCTCCGGGGAAACTCCAGGTGCGTGAACTCATTCCCCAGCAGCTCCGGCCTCAAAAACCCCTAAGGGGAGAAACCAGCCGATTCAGCCTCAGCCTCCCCCCGCCCCCACACACGCCCACCTGGCCTGGAGATCTGCAGCGGAACAGTTAACCAGGTAAGTGGTGTACCCGGGATTGGGTAATCGGTTAACCGTGTGGCCGGGGATCCGCAGCTGGCTCCTCCAGCCAGCCCTCCGGTTAACTGGTTACCTGCTAAGCATGCCGGGAAGGCTAATACTTACTGGCTACCAGTTAACCTTGCCCATTCCTAGAGCAGACCGCAAACGCTGACCCAGCCCAGAGACTGTACCGGGAGCTCAGACATGCAAGCAAGAGGGAGCGACCTCTCTCCTCTCCGCAGGAGCCTCCATGCCACGGTGAACACCCTTGCCTCTGTTCATCTGCCCGGACACGGACAGGAAGCACTGGGAGTTAGATACTGCATTAGCCGCCGGGGCAGAGCCATTGTCAACACCCGCTCCTGAAAGGAGTTTCTCAAAGCAGGGGTTCCCCTCAGGCCCCCAATTCCCTTCCCAACCCCCCAAACCTTTAGCCCCATGTTTCTTCATGGGCCAGGTTCAGAAAAGGGTCACAGAGACAAACAGGGGTTTGGAATAGCACGAGAGATTAGGAAGATGCGGACTTTTCAGCTGAGAGAAGAGGAGACACAGGGGGGATAGGATAGAGGTGTGTAAAATCACGACTGGTGTAGAAAAAGTGAGTAAGGAAAAGTTATGTACTTGTTCCCATAACATAGGAACTAGGGGTCACCAAATGAAATTAATAGGAAGCAGGTTTAAAACAAACAAAAGGAAGTTTTTCTTCACTCAGCACACAGTCAACCTGTGGAACTCCTTGCCAGAGGATGTGGTGAAGGCAAGAACTTTAATAGGGTTCAAAAAAGAGCTAGATAGATTCAAGGAGGTTAGGTCCATTCATGGCTATTAGCCAGGATGGGTAGGGAGGCTGTCCTAAGCCTCTGACAGAGGCTGGGAACAGGTGACAGATGAGGGATTGCTTGATGGTTCCGTGTTCTGCTCTCTCCCTCTGGGACATCTGGCATTGGCCACTGTGGGCTGACAGGTACTGGGCTGGATGGGCCTTTGGTCTGACCCAGTCTGGCCGCTCTTATGATCAGACTGAGACCCACTGCTCTACCCACAGCCAGTTTCCCCCAGCACACCCCTAGCCAATGCATTGACAGCTCAAACTTACAAGTGAATCTTTTGTCTCAGCCCATCCCCTGAGCCCACAGGAGCGGGGCAGGGAGGAGGACACACAGTTATCACCCTCACCCCAGAGTTCAGGGTTAGCAAAGACCCGAGGGCCGAGACACAGGGAGGGACATGGTGGGGGGTTCTAGCGCCGTTGGCAAATGCCGATGGGTTAGCTGAGGGAAGATGACTGGGAGATGCGGGTGGAGCTGCAGACAGGTGCTGCTGCTGCCAGGAATGCTGTTCCTAGAGGCTGGGAGCTCTGTCGACGGAACAGCACCCTGCGAAGGGACACACGCCCTCCATGGAAGCTGTGCAAGGGGCTGCAGAGCTGGTCCCCAACCTGCGGCATGCCGCGCCGTTGCTGCAGTTCCTGCCTCTCTGCCGCAGTTTGCTTTGGATGCAAAGCCACCAAAAGGAGGTTGGCTGAATCGACTCCCCCAGACCCATGGAGCGAACACAGAGCTGGTCCTCCGATTGCTCAGCTTTTCTGCCACCCGCAACGGCAGCCAATCCACTGCTGGGTGCAATTTCCTCCTCTCCGGGGCGGTTTGCAAACAGAGCGGAGGCCAGGCCACCTCTTGGTGGTTTTCCAAGGTATATTCTGAGCCAGCAACCCTCAGCTTGCTCATATGTCACCTTCTCCCTCTCCCTCTCGGGGAGGGGGGAGGGGGCAGGGTGTCTTTGCAACCTTATCAAGTTTCACCTTGCAGCAGACTCAGCTTCCCAAGGCGTGCTGGAAAGGGAAACTCTCAGGAACCACAAGAGCGATGCTCAGCCTTCATCGGGTTCCTGAGTGCTGTAGCGGGCACCTTGGTGTGCAACCAAGACGTGGCACTAACGTGCCCGGTCCTCCGGAGGGGCCTGGGCACGCGCTGGACAAAGGGGGAGGATGCGTATCGGCCGGGAGACGGGCAGTGGGACAGCCCTAACAAATAGCCCCAGGGTGACCGAGAGCGAGGGGGCTCGCTCCTCCCGTCCGACTCTCAGGCCCAGCACACGGCCACCCTGCACACCAGCACTGCCTGCCAGCCCTGTGCCCGGAGCAGGGGCAGGGCAAAGCACAGCAAGCCCCAGCTCCCCACTCTGGCCTGCGGGGACCTAGCGTGAGAGGAGTTCGGTCTCTCCACTGCGGCTGCGCCGTCAGCTGCGTGTCTGCATGAGACGATAGGGGCTACGGCCACCGACATTCAGCGTCACTGCCCACCAGACCCCCTGCGCTAGAGGGTCCAGGCCTCCTCTGCCATTCCCACCGCCAGAGACCTGGGCCCCATCTCTCCCCCCCGCCGGGCCTCCCCAGACGGCTGCAATTTCACCGGCTGGGGCAGAAGGCGGACGCCACCGCTCCCCCGGAGGTCCCCCCAGGTGACCTCATGCAGCTTTTGCTGTAGCTATCTCCCCGCAGCCCTGTGGGAGGCGGCGCAGAAGGAATCGGAGGAGAAGAAAGTTCTTTCTTACTAAAAACTGCAGCCTCTGCCTCTCTGTCTCTGGAGTAAACTCCCTGGACATTGGAATGATTTCCCCGTTACGGATGATAATGGCCCTGCAATGAAACATGGAATGATGAGATTAGTGGGGCAGGCAGGCGGCGGCCCCCCCCCATC